GACGCGTGATCCAGCCACGGCGGGCGCATGTCCCGAAGCAACACGAACGTCACGCACTTCGCAGCCTCGTCCAGCAACTCTTGCTTGGTCTTGGAGCTGACGTACGCTGTGGACAAGCCCACCGCCTCTATGTAGTCCTCCACGAGCACCTCGCGGTTGGTCGCCGGGCACGAGTAATCTGCGCGGATGCGGGGCGCCTGGAGGTCGGACCTTGTGAAACCGAAAGCAGCTGCCGACCCGGCTGGCCGAGATGCGCTGGCAAAGCCTGGCGCACTGCTCGCCCTGGTGGAACTGTTCGACCAGCCGGAGCGTCCTGTAGAAGGCGTAGATGGCCTTGTCCGTGTGCGTCCGGCCCAAGTCCCAGAAGAGCTCCCCCAGCGTCGTGACGGGGCTCTGCCGACACCACTCGTGCGTCTCGACCGCCTTGCACGGAACGCATACCCTGCTCCACTGGCGGGCCCAGGCGGGCATGTAGACCTGTGGGTTGATGTCCTCGCCCTCGTTCACGGCGGCGACTTCGCGCTGGGCCTGTGCGTCGACGGCTTTGGCGAAGAGCTCGGACCCGTGCCGGCCGTGCTCGCGCCGCCCCTCCGGGCGTCGCCCCACGGTGTAACCACCTTGCACGCGCCAGAATTGTGGATTCTCGAATTGCGCGGCACTGCCAATGCCTGGTGCGACCTTGCGAAGGCACCACTGCGTTCTGCACCCGTCCAGCTCCACCACCTCGCCAGAGTGGTGATTGACCAAACCCACCAGCGCTTTCGATGGTCCGTCGTCGTCCCCCAGCTGGTTCGGCGAAAACTTCTGCGCTGCCTTATCTGGGAGCTCCTTGAACAACGTCTGGTAATGCTCCCGCAGCGCGAGCATGCGCAAGCGGCCCTCCCGTGCCTGCGTGTTTGGAGGTGGCCGCGACAGATCCTTGACGCAGAGAGACCTCTTAGACGCCGCATTCAAAAACTCGTTCGGAGTCATGGGCACCGCGCCGGCACTGACCAGCTTGACGCACACCAGTTCGCGGCCCAAGAACATGTCCCGCGTGTCCAGGCCACGGGCGCATGTCCTCCGACGCTCCTCGTGCTTTTCCCAGGCCTCGCGGCGCATCCTGTCGATGTTGCCCTGCACCTCGGGATCGTCGGGCTCATCGATGACTCGGTGCCGCGCGTGCTCCACACCGCGACTCTTCATAGCACGAACATCGTCCAGGGCGGCGTTGCTGGCCATCGGCTGACCCTGCACAAGCTTCAAAAAATCCGGGATGGGCAGAACTTCGGCGCCGAGTGCAGCGCGGACCTCCCTGGACTCACGGGCGGCGGCCGGGTCCCCATCGGGCGTCTCGGCCAGCTCCTCGCGCAGGTCAGCCGTGATGTCGAACTGGTGCACGTCCGCCGTGTCCTCTGTCCAATCGGCTTCGGGGTCGAACCCTGGCGGCGTCTTCTCCGCATCCGCCTTGTCCTCGTTCTTCTGCCCCTGGGTCGCCGGGCCGGCAAAGCCTGGCCCCGACCCCTGGGCTTCGCCTGCCACCGCTTGCTCCCCGCCCGCTGGCCTCCTTGCCGCCTCCAACTCGGTCCGCATGCGCGCGCGCGCATACTCCGCGATCTCCACGAAGCGGTTGAACTCCGCACCTAGCGTCTCGTACTCGGTGCCGTCCAAATCGCGCCCCTCAGGCAAGACGTCCGAGATGCGCTCGATCCCCTTGAGCAGAAGGTCCTGGGCCTTGACCAACGATGCAATGTTCCCGTCCCGCTCGAACGCTCTCAGCTCCGTGACCCCGGCCTCGCAGTAGTTGAGGCCCTCCGGGCAGGAGGCCTGGCGCGCCCCTCCGCTCACCTGCGCCGCAGGGGCGATTTGGCAGGAGGCCCGGTCGCGCCGCCCTGATTCATTGAAGTATCCACCCCCGCAGAACTGGCAAAGCCTGGCTCAAGCGGGACCCCGCGGCCACCCTGACTCATTGAGGCCGACTCGGTGGGGCAGGCTTCCACCCGCGCCGCAGAGGCGGTCGCCTGGCCCCCGGGCATCGCGGGAGCGTTCTGGAAAGGATACGGGAACGTTGGCTTGCGACTCGGTGCCTGCGTCGGAGAGCTGGCAAGGCCTGGCGCTGTTGGAAGGCCTGGTGCCCGCGTCGGAGAGCTGGAAGACCCCGCAGGACTGGCAAAGCCTGGCTCAAGCGGGATCCCCTCCAGGCCCTCTGGGAGCACGTCGTCTTCCCAGGTACCGTGTCTCGTCAGGCAGCTCTTGCAGTAGTCGCGGGCATGCTGTGGAAGGAGCTCCCGGCCCTTGACGGCGTGCAAGAGCACGCGCCACGCCGCCGCGTGATGCCGTTTGGGGGGGTCCTTGAACATCGCTGTCTCAGTGTAAGGGCGCCCCTCCATGTGCTTCATGTGGTTGTTCCGCGTGATCTCGAACTCCAGAGCTACATGGGGCTCGCGGTGCAGGTGGACTTCCAGGTTCTGCTCGAAGACGTGGTCGCCTCGGTTGCCCTGCGAGGTCTTGGAGCTCTTGTCCACGACCTGAGGGTCACCCTCGTAAGCATTCCCGGGAACCCCATATGGCCTCCACTATGGTTCAAGATAACCGGAGATGGCTCAAGATGGCTCCTCCCAAGGAGGCCCCCGAAGACCCCCGAAATCCCAAATGGCCAACCCAAACGCCGAGTGGCCACAAACATCTTTGGAAGCACAGAGACCTTCAGCACGCCTGGTGCTGCCAGCAAGTTCGTCTTGAACTCCTCCCGAATCAGCAGGCGCTGAGGATGGAGTTCCACCATGCCCGAAAAGGAAGTGCCCTTGTACTCGTATCGTTGCGCGAGTCTGCGCGAGCCCGCGTAGGGTGCCTCTGTCCCTGGGGCTGGCAAAGCCTGGCCCTGGGACACAGGCGGCGCATGTCTGAGCATGCGGGCGGCGGCGGCCATGGCCGCGGGACCGGCCAAAGGTCCGCGGGAACTCTCCGAACACAGAACCGTGATGGGCTGCGGTCTGACGGCGTCAACGCCGGCACAGCATACATCACGGCATGATGATACAACAAGGCCCCAGGAACGATTCAGGAGTTCCCAAGGGAACCTGCAGGGACGCACCGACGCCGACTCCAACAGCGACGGCGAACGACGATTCCAGGGGCCCGCGCCGGCATCCTGTCGGCGTATCCCTTTTTATGTCGACGGCCCAACTCCAGGGGCCGAGACGCACCAGTTTTTCGATTCGCTTCCAGCCGCGGCGGCGAGCAGGGCCTCCGAGGGCCAGGAAACCTCGACCGAACCTCGGCGCCAACCTCAAAACGGAACCGGAACCCCTCCCAGGGGCCCGCGCCGGCGTCCTGTCGGCGTATCCCTTTTTATGTAGACGGCCGAACTCCACGGGCCCAGACGCCCCAGTTTATCGATTCGCTTCCAGCCGCGGCGGCGAGCCCGCGCGGCCGCCCGAAGGAACGGGGCGCGCTCGGAGAGAGCGGCTGGCAAAGCCTAGCCTGTACTGGTGGGTGCACGGGGCCTCGCCCGCACGCACGGCACGCACGAACACGAAAACGAAATCGATTTCCCGGTAGGGGGGCTCTCCGTCCCACTTCGATCTCACCCCCCAACCTCCGATCACAATAGATCTCACAATCGACGTCATAATCATCATCATCATCATCATCATCATCATCATCTCATCTCATCATCATCATCAACATCAACATCATCATCATCATCATCATCATCATCATCATTATCATCATCATCATCATCATCATCATCATCATCGCCATCATCAACATCATCATCATCTCCATCATCATCATCACCATCATCATCATCATCGTCATAATCATCATCAACATCATCATCGGGACACCGACGGGACACCACCGGGACACCGGCGGGACACCGCGCGGCCCCGCGCCCCGGTGGAGAATCATTTGGTGCGGCCGCGCCTCAGCCACAGAGGACACCACCGGGACACCGGCGGGACACCGCGCGGCCCCGCGCCCCGGTGGAGAATCATTTGGTCCAGCCGCGCCTCAGCCACAGGAGACTTTCCTCTCGCCCGCCCACGCAGCTTCGCCTCGCACGCACGCACGGCACGCACGAACACGAAACCGAAATCGATTTCCCGGTAGGGGGGCTCTCCGTTCCACTTCGATCTCACCCCCCAACCTCCGATAGTAAATCGCACACTATGATGCACAACCTCGACTGCATCACATACATTGATCCACATCGATTGCACAATGTATTGTGCCTGATATATTGCATCACTTGTACTGCGCAAGCACCAGTTGCATAACATATGCTGCACACCACGAATGCCATCACATACTTTGCATGCCATATATTGCCATAAGGACACTATTCCCCCCCCGCTTGCGAATATATATATATATATATATATATATATATATACACGATGTGTATTGGCTTTGGCGATGTGCACTGGCCTGTGTGGCTGGAAGCAGGAAGGCAGAACGACACACAAGTGAACGCAGAGGGTTCGCAGCCTCCTCAGAGGCCTGGAGGAGCAGGAGGCGAAGAACAACCAGGGTACTTATGTTTTTTTCAATCATGTCAGCCATGATGAAACAACTCCGCAGCACGGCGCGAACAAGATCGATCGACACAATTCACATAACTGTGCATCTACATATTGGCTTGCAGCCGATTCTCCTGTCAAGCTATGCGTCGGAGCTCAGACGTAACTTGTGCGATGGACTAGCCAGGCGTCTGGTGAAGCGTGCTCACCCTCGTGGAATGGTACAGTCGTGAAAAAGCTGACAGCGAGCGGCGCCGACAGGCGCGAGTGCAGCGGTGCAGGCTAGCGCCAGCAGTGGGGGGGCGACAGAAAGTAAGCAGCAGGAGGAGGAGGAGGAGGAGGAGGAGGAGGAGGAGGAGAAGGATGAGGAGGGGGAGTAGAAGGAGGAACCCCAAGAGGGGGAGGAATATCATTGTGGAGGAGCACGAGGGCGGAGCAGGGAGGCATCATCCCCGACGCGGCCCTCCTAGCCCCCCCTCATCTCGTGCCGGCGGCCTGTCCAGCAGGCCCCTCGCGAGCCCTGCGGCCCACTCCTCTGCGGCCGTGGGCGCCTAGTCGCCGTCGTCGTCGTCGTCGCAGCCGTCGTCGTTGCCGTCCTCTCGCCCCTTCTCATGCCCCTGACGCTACTCCCGCTGCCGCACCCGCACCGCACCTGCCTCCCCTCCTTCCTCCTCCCTCCTCCTCCTCCTCCTCCTCCTCCTCCTCCGCGTCTTCCTCTTCCGCCAGGGGGGAGGGTAGTCTCCCCACCCCTGCTTCTCAAGCGTCACCTCCCGCCTTTTGAAGTAGGTCTGGCGGGTGTGCGTGCACCCAGCGGGCCTGGACAGAGCATGTGTTCGAACTGGTGCGCTCTCTTTCCCCAAGCTTGACACGGGCGCAATGTCGGCCGAGGGAATCTGGCACGGCTACACGTGTGAAGATAACCAACTTACTCTCTGTCGGGTTTAGGGTTTAGGGCTTACGATTTCTTTCTTCAAAGTTGAAGGCCACGAGAAGGCCTTCAACTTTGAAGGAAGAAATCGTTCAGTTCAGTTCAGCCTCTGTGCAAACTCTGGCGCAGCGGTCCCCTGAAGGGGCAGGCGGGGCACAAGAAAACAGCGAGCGTGGAAAAAGGCGAGGGAGGACGCAGAAACAATTGGGGTGATGCTGGATCGAGCAGCTCTTATTCTCAGTGAGAATAGTCCGCCCCGAGTTGAGGCTCAGGCAGAAGCCGAGAGGGAGGACGAGGAGGAGGAGGAGGAGGAGAAGGAGGAGGAGGAGGAGTGCGAATTGAATATCCGTTGCTGTCGTGGATCTGTCGGAAGGGGCTTCCAAGATAGACCATTCCATCATCCCCCTCGGCACTTCAAAGGCTGGTGCCCTGAGACGTGGGGCCCTGGGGCGAGGAGGCCTGAACAGCGCAAGCTCAACTCAGAAGCCCTCCCCTGTCGTGAGGGCCACGTCCCCCAGGGCCCCACCTTCGAAGCGCCGACCCCTCCTTGACCCTTGAGGGGGAAAGTTAGGGGGGGACTGGCCCCAGGGGTGGGGGTGGGGGCAATGTCGAGCTGGAATCGGCGATACATCGTCGATAGATCTGCGCTGTGTCTCGTTTCAGCGATTGGGGGTCGATGCGCCCCCCCTGGGCCTACGGCCGGACGCTGTTGCTTGGCGTGTCGCGGCAGCGGCCCAGGCGACACGCTATGCCTTGCAAGAGAATAGCGCGTTGCTCCGCTTCGCCGGGTGGGAGGCTGGGGACGACGTGGACGACTGGGGACGCGCTGACGACCGTGAGGTCGACCAAAAGCGGTCCAGCGGCGCCGGGCGCGTGGATCACCAGGTCCATGCGCGCCTCGGGGCTCTGCGGAGAGGCGTGGACGACTGACGACGCTCCGCTCGGCACGTGGACGCCTGGGGGCCGCGAACTGGCTAGCACGGCGCGCCGAAACGTGGCCGGCGAGAACGGGCGGAGAGCCCCACGCTGACCAGCAGCTCCCACCCGTAGCACCGCGCCAGCCCGCGACCCGCGCCCGGGCCGTCCGGCGCGCGCGCCAGCGGGGGGAAGCGGGCCCGAGGGGCGTGCGCGGCGGTCGTCGTCGTCGTCGTCGTCGTCGTCGTCGTCGTCGTTCTCCTCCTCCTCCTCCTCCTCCTCCTCCTCCTCCTCCTCCTCCTCCTCCTCCTCCCTCTCCCTTCTCCTCGCGCGCGCCCTCTCTCTGTCTCTTCTTCCCTTCCGTTCCCTCTTCCTCCTCTCTCTGTTGTTCCCCCCCCCCCCCAACGTTGCACCAGAAGGGCCCCACCTCCGAAACCCCGACCCACCCTCGAGCCCGCGAAGCTGCCGCGGAGGTCCTCGCGCTCCGCGCGGACCACCACCAGGCGCCGCGGGCGGGCGGGGTCCGCGGCCACCGGCGCCAATTGCGCGCCCTCGCCTCCGCCGATGCCTGCCTCGCCGGCCAGCCCCTCCACCAGGCCGTGCGCGGCGAGGACCTGGCGCCGCGCGCGCGCAAACGCGCCCGGTTGCTCTCTGTCGTCGTCGTCGTCGTCGTCGTCGTCGTCGTCGTCGTCGTCGTCGTTTCCGTCCTCTTCCTCGTCCTGCTCCTCTTCCCACCCCCCTTCCCGTTCCCCCTCCTCGCTCCCCCTCCTGCTCCTCCTTCTGCTCGTCCTCCTGCTCCTCCTCTTCCTCCTCCTCCTCCCTCATTCCTCCCTCCTTCCCTTCCTGCTTCCCTCCTTCCGTCCGCCTTCCCCCCCTCCGTCTGATCTGTTCCTCGTCCTACTCCTTCCTCCTCCTCCCTCCTTCTTCTCCTCCTAGTCCTCCTCCGTCTCACCTTAAGATCATCACCTTTCCTGCTGATACCTTCTTCCTTCCAGAACAATATTGGTCTTGCGTCTTGCAGGTTGAAGCCGCTCCGCTCGCACTCAGGCTCGCTTCTTAAGGGTTCGGCCTGGTGCACTGGGAAGGAGCGAAGTGGTGCATTCTTGCACACAGCATGCGCCTGGTCCCGCCTGCAGATCAGAATCCCGACCTCCAACCTGGAGTCTGGGCTCCCGTGGTGGCAGCATCAGTGGGTGGCCGATCAATCAAATCGTTCTTCATGGTGGAAGCCAGGGTGACGGAGAAGCCGCAGCATATCAACACTGGCTGCCCGCCTACGCCACATTCAACCAGTGCCGCAATGAGAAGGTCACCGTGGAGGTTATGGGCACGGCACCGAGGATCGCCAGGCATTGCGAGGATGTCACATCATGCGGCGGGTCGCAGCGGAGGAGCCGCTCGTGAAACTGGTCGAAAGGCCAGTCATCATTGCAGACGAACGTTCCTGGTCCTACAGCTCCGCGCCCCCCTCCTCGCAAACCTGCTTGAGACCTGGTGGCTGCGGAATGAAGAGCCCAATCTCCGCCACAAATGCACAGGGGCGTCAATTCTCGCGCCAAACGCTGGCCACTGCATCCGCCCGCGCCCGCATCGCAGCGACGAGCTCGGAGCGCCAGCCCCTCAAGAATGCGCGCCGGCGTTTCCTGAGACCGCGCCGCCCGCTGGAGCGCCACCTTCTCTAGGACTGCGAGGGCATGCCGCCCGAGGCGGCCGCACTCTCTTCCTCTGCCTTCTCCTCGTGCCTTTGAGGGGGAACGTCACGGGGGGAGCGGCTCTGGGGGGGGGGCGTCGAGCCGGAAGCGGCGATGCATCGCCAATAGATCGGCGATGGGGGGGGGGGCGATCGATGCATCCTCCCTGAGCCTATCCTCCCCCCAACGTTGCCCCTGAGCCTCACCCCCTGTGCTCGTCCTTCACACCCCGATTCGCGCCCTCGCCTGAAGGAGATAGAGTACGAATAGTTTTTTGGTCCTAGCTCTGGTAGCAGACCGAGTTCGGGCATCCAGATACTTGAGACTCGCGCTCCCGATGATTCTCCTCCGATTGTTGTGCCGAACAGCTCTGTAGCTCATCTGCAGCTCGAGTTAAGTTAAGAAAACCCACAGCACCTGCCGAGATGACGCCGCGTACCGATGGTGCACACGCAGGAGCTGCTCTGGGCAAGAGTGACCTTTGGTGCGCGGGCTGCGGGGGTCGTGGGCGGGTCGATTCCAAGCGCGCAAGAAGGCCAGTGCTGCCCCGCGAGGCCGCGGATCCGGATAGATTTTCCGCCCACGACCGCGACTCGCCTAAGATGAAGGGGCCCTGGGGCACACAAATGAATGCACACAAGTAAAAATATTTCCCTATATTTTCCCATATTTTCTGGGTTTCTGTCTCCCCCCACACTGCCCATATTTTCCCATATTGTCCAAGGAATCGCCGATTAATTGTGCCTGTGTGTATTTTCCCCTCCTGACGATTCCAAGCGCGCAAGCAAGCCAGTGCTGCCCCGCGAGGCCGCGCATCCGGAGAGGATTTTCGCCCACGACCGCGCCTCGCCTAAAATTGGCGGCGCGCAAAAGGGGGTGGGGGGAGGGGGGAAGGCTTCTTAGAAGCACCCTGCTTATTAGAAGGTCTCGGCCTTACGTCTACAGAGAAGGCCCGCGCCTTCTAAGAAGCAGGGGTGTTTCTGAGAAGCCTTCCCCCCTCCCCCTGCCCCCCCTCTGCGGGTTGCCGATAAAAGAGATGGCGCGCACCAAAGGGCGGGACACACTCCGCGCACCTCTCCGTCCAGCTTTGGCGGGCACGGGCCGCCGGCACGGCGGCGGGCGGCGGCATCGGCGGCATCGGCGGCGGGGGCCGCGGAATAACGATGGCGATGCTGATGCTGATGATGTTGATGCTGATTGTGATGGTGACGGTGACGATGCTGACTATGACGATGGTGATGGCGATGGTGATGCTGCTGCTACTGATGATGATGCTGCTGCTGATGGCGATGATGATGGTGCCAATGGTGATGATGACGATTATGGTGTTGACTATGACGATGATGCTGCTGCTGCTGGTGATGATGATGATGATGATGACGATGCTAAGGATGCTGCTCATGATGCTGATGCTGATGACGCTGGTGATGACGCTGGTGGTCTTGACTATGACGATAACGATGCTGTTGATATTGATGCTGATGATGGCGATGCTGATGATGCTTATGATGATAATGCTGATGATGCAGGTAATTAAGATGATCTTGATGATGATGCTGTTCATGATGCTGGTCTGATGACGATGATGATGGTGATGCTGTTTATGATAATGGTGATGATGATAATGCCATAGTGATGATGACGACCATGCTGCTGCTGATGATCTGGTAATCATGATGGTGGCGTGATGATGTTGGTGCCATTGCCACTCATGCTGGTTCTACGAATGCTAGTGCTGATGATGATGCTGATACTGATGACGGTGACGATAACGATGACACTTACGATGACGATGAGGACGACGATCATGATGATGCTGATGATGCAAATAAGAATGATGATGCTGAAAATGATGATGATGATGCTGATGATGATAATGATGATGATGATGATGATGATGATGATGATGATGATGGTGATGATGATGATGGTGATGATGATGACGATGATGATTCGATTCGTGCCAGCTGTAGGCGAACCTGGAGCACGTGTGCGAGCACGCTGGCTGCGCAGTGCGAGACCTGCAGGTTGCGCTGGCTAGATGAGCGAGCGCAGTCAGAAGGGAACAAAACCACCGCGTGGGTGGAAAACCTTCGCTTCCCCAGTCGGGAGGCCGACAGCTGTGGAGCGGCCCCAGCCCTGCACAGAAGCCAAACCGGAGGCCCGATGCAGGCGGTGCTGCGGGCGCCCGCCGAGGGCGCTGGACATGGAGGCGCCGACCGGCGGCGCTGGGGGATTAGGAAACCTTCCCCGCAAATCGGCAGGCAAGTCCAAGAAATTTTTAGAGGAGCCCTGGACTCGCCTGCCGCTGTTGGGGGGGGGGGGGGGGGCGGCTGCTCCCCTCGTCGGAGCGCCGGCAGGCAACGCCTCGCCTGCGGGGCGAGGAGCAGGGCGCAGGGCGCGCGTGCGCGCTTCGCCCCCCGCGCCGTGCGGCCGCGATTGGACGCCGCGTCGGCCCTGTCGGCTTCGGTGACCTGGAGGGCGGAAAAGGCCGGAAGATCTCCCTGGATCATCCTGGCCCTGCACTGCTGGCTGGCGAAGTGGAGGTGGTGGAGCGCGCGAGGGCGCGTGAGAAAAAGGCCGTTGAGCAAGCTGGGCATGTCGCGCCAAAGATGTGATAGCGCGCAAGCATTGCTATGCCGTGCGCGTGCCTCCTGTGGGCGGCCAAGCCTTTGGGGCCGCGGCATTCCGTCTGGCAGTCAGGGCACGTAAGAGTCGGGGCCGGCGGGAGCAGCCGCCCTGGCGGGGGAGGTTGCTTCCCTCGCTGCCCGCGCAGAGTCGTCTGGGACTGCGGGGCCTCACATGGAGAAGCACGAAACTCATGACACAGACGTCTCCATCTCGCGGGCTCCGAAGCTATGAACTCGCGCAAAGCACCCAGAAAGTGGAACGGGTCCCCGAGGGTCTGGGTTTCTGTCATGAGTGTTGGTGCCAGCTGCCTGAGGTCTGCCAGACGCTGATGTGCCGATGCGGGCTTGGGCACGGCTGCGATGTAGCGTAGCACCAGCGGCGGCGCACGCAGCTGCGAGCCCAGGCCTGCCAAGCGTTGCGCACGCACCAGAGAGGCGAGCGGGGGCGCCTGCAGCGCGGTCCGCACATGGAGGTCCGTCAGCGTGCCGGGGGCCCCGTAGCGCATCGAGCCGTGATGATGATGATGATGATGATGATGATGATGACGATGATGATGATGATGATGACGATGAAGATGAAGATGTTGATGATGGTGATACTGATGAGTATGATGATGCTGATGACGATGGTGGCAGTGATTAGTATGTTGGAGATGATGATGCTACTGATGACAACACCAACGATGATGACGACGACGGTGACGACGATGATGATGACGACGAGGATGGCGATGCTGATGATGATGATGATGCTGATGATGATGATACCCATGAGGATGTCGTTGATGATTTTGTAGTTGATGATGATGGTGGTGATCATGATGCCTATACCGAAAATGATGGCGACAACGGCAGCGATGATGATGATGCTGCTGCTGATGATGATGCTGATGATGAAGATGCTGATGCAGAAGATAATGATGATGATGATGATGATGATGATGATGATGATGATGATGATGATGATGACGCTGCTGATGCTGATGCTGATGCTGATGATGATGAGGCTGATGCCAGGAGAGTGCGACTAAATGCCGTGGGCAGAAATCCTTCGCCAAAGAACCCTTCAAGACTCGCAACCAGCCCCCCCAGGAAGCGCGAAGGCGCAGCCCCCGCGCCTGATGATGAGGATGATGAGCAAAAGGAAGAAGATGAGGCCCGGGTGCCAGATGCGGAAGCCGCCCTCCGATATGCTGCGAGCACGGTGCCCGCAAGACGACTGAATGCCACCATCTGGGGGGTGGCGATCCAGACACGCGGGAACATCCAACAACATCATGTCAGCATGGGGACCCCGAACGTGTACTCGGTGCAGTCCATACGTTGCAGCCCAAGTGTGCAAGACTGCGTGCCGTTCCGGGCCGGCGGAGGTGGAGCCAGGGGACGCCACAGGAAGCCAACCAGCGGCAGGAAAGTGCGGCGCACAGGTCTAGTTCTTTGATGCACGCAAATAAGAGCCATCAGTGCAAGCACTCTTTGGGGAAGGACATTCAGTACGACGTTTACAACTCGGCGGAGGGAGGATCTTGTTGCCATTCGGCGTTTTTCTGTGCGTCCCCTAACTACAAGCACGGAATGCGCAGCATCCCCGCAGCCAGAGTGCTGGCTGCAACCGCTGCTGGTGGCAGTATCTGGTACTTACACTTGCATTCGCGCTGCTGGCCACATTCGGCTACGAATGTGCATACTAACTACTGATAGCTTCTCTTCCCGTGCAGCACTGCGACCCCTCGTTCCGCGATGCCGCCCGAAACCGCCTACGCCCACTCGGTATCTGCCGCCACTGCGCCCGCCGACTTCCCGCGGATCCTCCGGCGTGCCTGAGGGGGACCGTTAAGGTGGGGGACTGGCTCACGGGGGGAGGGGCATCGACCTTAAATCGGCGATACATCGCCGATAGGCTCCCGATTGCGAATCCGAGAGTTCCTGGGCGGGGCGGGCTATCGGACTGACTGTGCGATTGGGGGTTGTCGCGTGCTTCCCCTGAGCCTGCCCCCCTCCCCCCCCCGAACGTTGCCCCTGTCGGCGGTGGACAAACCTCCCTGTAGCAAATCTCCCCTTGGTGAAAACGGCCTGGGACCGAAACCGGCGGACCTGGACCCGCCAAAACGACGGCCGCGAAACCCTCTCGCGAACCGAAAACGGCCACTTCCTTAATCGACGCGTCAGTGTATAGGAGGCCTGCCCACCCCCGACCCTGCACGCCTCTGGGGCCCGCGGCTCCCTTGCCGGCGCGCCGCGCCCGCGCGTGGCGCCCGTGGTCCTCGCCCTGGGGCGCGCGATCTCCGCCTGCGCGGCGATCCGCTCCAAGGCCGCGGCGGCGGCGGCGCGCCGAGGCCGACTGCACGCCCCGGCCGGGTCCTGCTCCGGGCCCTCCGCCGCCGCTGGGGCCGCCGCCGCACGCTGCGGCCGCGCCGCACGCACCTGCTCGAGCTCGGCGGGCCTGGCCTCCTCGGCGGCCGCGGCGGAGAGGGTGGCAGGGGCGCGGCGCCGCTTGCCTCCGCTGCCTCCGCGGGCGTCGCTGCTCGGCGCCTCGCTGGCTCGCTTGGGCCTGGCGGCTGGCGTCTCCGGCTCCACGGCCTGCTCGGGCACAACTGCCTCCTCGAGCGCTGCCGCCGGGGCGTCTGGCTCCCCGGTGCCGCCGCCCGGGCCCGCAGCGAGCAACGCCAGGCGCTGCGATGTCAGCGCCTCGATGTCGAGCCGCAGCTGCTGCGCGGCATTTGCGCCTGAGCCGTTGAGTATGCGCTGCAGGAACGGCTTCCCAGTGAACTTCCCGACGTCCCTGGTGAACCAGTCCGCTGCCCTGTCCACGAGCGTCGCCAAAGCCGCCCGGGCCGCCTCGGGGTCCAGAGCGCGCCGATTCCGCGCCGTGCCGCAGAGCGCAGTGAGCACCTCTATCTCCGTGCAGCAGGCGTCGGTACCCTTGGCGCGGACCAGGAGCTGCTGTACGACGGCGTGCGCCCTGAGGGCATCCTCGCAAGCGCGGAGCTTCAGCTCCACCTCGGAGACCTGCGCCGCCCACGCCGCCTGCTGCTCTGCCGCCTGCTCCCGCGCGAGGATGCGCGCCTTCAGCATCTCCCCTCGGCTCTGAAAGTCAAGCTTGCCCTGGTTTCCTCGAGGAGAGATAACTGTGCACATGCGCCGACTCCAGCCAGGCCCATCCTGAGCCCAGGATTAGTGCACACGCCCTCCTGCCTTGGCGGCCAGGAAAGCTTATGCACCGATCCTGGGTCAAGGATGGTGACTACCTACCAGGCCACCCCAACCCAACCCGAAGACCCGAATCTGACCCGAACTTCGGGTTGGGGGGGGGTACGGATTCCATGTGTTTTTTCAACGTTCCCCGACCCCCCCCCCACTGGAAATGGAAGGCAAATTGAGGGCTTCGGGTTGGGTTGGGGTGGTTTGGTGGGTGGTGAGATGGGCCTTGCCAGGATCGGTGCATGTGCATAGCTCTCTTCGCCCGATCTCCGGCGCTGGGAGTGGCCGCAGGCTCACGGCGCGGGGCGCCGTGCTCCACGCGTGCGGCGGGGCCCCGCGGCTCGGAGTGCCTGGCGGGCAGCGTCCGGCACGGGATCGCCGCGGCCTTCTCGAGGCCGAGGAGGGCGTCGCGGAACTGCCCTGCACGCGCCGCCTGCTCGTCGCCGAGCGGCGCCCGAGCCTCGCCATCGGCCGCCAGCTGCAACACCTCGAGCTCACCCGCGGTCCACTTGACGTCCAACATGTCCCCGGCGGCGGCCCACACCTGGCCCAGGCGCTCCTCCGTGAAGTCGCGGCCGGTCATCCGCTCCACGCCGTCCTTCACGACCGGGAAGGTGGGGCGACACTGCCGGCCGGCGAGTGCCCCGAGTACAAACTCCAGCCCGTTGAACAGCTTGTCCAACAAGGCCAACTTGTCGGACAGCTCGGCCACCTTGCTGGCCTTCCGCGGCAAGGCTGTCGCAAGCGTGTCGAGCTCTGCCTCTGCGGCTTTGCGCCTGCTGTCCTTGCGCTTCGAGGCGGCGACAAGGGCCGCGATGCTGCGGGCGACGTCCATGGCTGCTGGACTGGCTGCGGTGGGCGAGCACGGCACCTAAACGAAAGTGCCTTCAGACAAAATCGTCTTGAGTCAGAACGGTTCCGGAGGGAGGACGAAGAGGAGGAGGAGGGTGGAGCCTGTGCTGTGGACAGGCGCCAGCTCAGGCGCTGGCGAGTACGTGGACGAAGGAGGCGAAGGCCGCCACGGACGACCGCACCACGAGCGATAGCGGACTTGGCCAGCACAGTTTTCACATCATCGGCAACCTTGGCAAACACGAGGCGCTGGGAGGAAGATTTCGCTGCGAGCGAGAAAGCCTAGGCGGCCCTCCGCGACTCCATCGCCCGATTTTTTTTGCAGTCACATGCTGCACCTGCGACCCAAAGAAAATCCAGGGACGCCTAAGGATGTATCCGCCCTGGGGACCTGAACACCACGATGTGTAACAATGCGCCAGGTAGGCGGTGCGCAACCGAAGCGGAGCCTTACCTTCCTCAAAACTGGGTTGGTCTGGGGCCCGAAAGCGGCACCTGGATGCCGAAAACACAAAGAAAAGTCAGTTTCGATATTTCCGAGCCTCTAGAAGTATGGGCAGAGGCGGACGCAGACAACGACGACGGCGACGACGCAGGCACCGCTGTCGCCGACAACGAAGACGCAGGCGCTGACGACGACAAAGACGCCGTCGCCGACGACGACGACGCAGGCGCTGCCGACGGAGCAGGCGTCGACAACGACGCTGGCTTTGTTACACAATGATTTGCTGAAACTAAACAAACATTGCACGGATCGACGGCCGGTGATTTTCAAAATTGAGCTTTCTTCTTAGCGGCGCAACCATTCGTCCGAAAATGCTTGCAACAGTCACAGGAATGAAGGGGCAGTGGTTTTCAAAATGGGGCTCTCGCCGAAACGCCGCAAACATTCGTCTTACGGAGGGCTGGTTGTTTTCAACATGGAGCTCTCGGCTAAAGGTCCTCATGGATGGAAGGTGCCTTCTTTCCAACATTGGACTCTCGCCCCAAACTTCTGCAAACTGTACGACCAGAACTTTGAGATGGTGCAACACGTACACGAATCGATGACACATCCATTACCAAACGGAACTACCGCTGGAGACTGCTATGAACTGTGCCGTCCTTCCTCTTTGCGTTTCTGTTGCCTAGATGGCTGGATGGTGGATCCTTTGCACGAGCCCGGCGCGATCCCAATTAGGGGACACCTTCCGGGCGCATTGCGTGGCAGTGCGCTTGGCGTAGTGCTTGGCATGTTGCTGGGCATTGCGTAGCATTGATGGGAATTGCTCGACATTGCGTGCCGTTGCTTGGCATTGCTTGGCGAGGCAGCAAGGAACCCAAACCACGGACCCAAGAAGCGAAAACCAAATAAGCAAAGAACCAAGACCGAGGAATCACGGAACCACGGCCAAGTAACCATAAAACCAAGACAAAGGAACCAGGACCAAAGCCGAGGAACCAAGACCAAAGAACCACGAAACCAAGACCACGGGACCCGAGGAAAACAACAAAACCATAACACCGAATCCGCCGGCCCCCTTGAGGGGCCACCAGGCTGTAGGGGGAAGTTGCTGCTCCCTGCGCCAATTGCAGTTTCAAGCCTCCAATCTTACAGTCCTGCTTTCTGCTTCCTACTGTCGGAGGTTGGGGGGTGAGATCGCTTTTGAACGGAGACTCCCAACCTGGAAATCGTTTGGTTTCGTTCGTGTCGTGCGTGCGGGCGAGGCGAAATTGCGTGGGTGCGCGAGAGGAATGAACCCGCCGTTGCTAGGGCGCGAAGTCAAGACAAATGATTCTCCCCCGCCCTCCCGTCCGGCGGTGGCCCGCGGTGTCCCGCGGTGTCCCGCGGTGTCCCGTGGTGTCCCGTGGTGTCCGCCGTTGCTAGGGCGAAGTCAAGACAAATGATTCTCCCCCGCCTGCCCGTCCGTCAATCCGTCCGGCGGTGGCTCGCGGTGTCCCGTGGTGTCCCGTTGAGTGAGATCGATAGTGAGATCGATGCTGAAATCGATGTGGTGCCCCGACGTGTCCCGTGGTGTCCTATGGTGTCCCGTTGAGTCAGATCGATAATGAGATCGATAGTGAGATCGACAGGTGTCCCATGGTGTCCCGTTGAGTGACATCGATAGTGAGATCGATGTGGTGCCCCGAGGTGCCCCGTGGTGTCCCGTTGAGTGAGATCGACAGTGAGATCGATAGTGAGATCGACAGTGAGATCGATAGTGAGATCGATGTGGTACCCCGAGGTGTCCCGTGGTGTCCCAAAAAGTGAAATCGATAGTGAGATCGATAGTGCGATCGACAGGTGTCCCGTGGTGCCCCGTGGTGTCCCGTTGAGTGAGATCGATAGTGAGATCGATGCTGAAATCGATGTGGTGCCCCGACGTGTCCCGTGGTGTCCTATGGTGTCCCGTTGAGTCAGATCGATAGTGAGATCGATAGTGAGATCGACAGGTGTCGCATGGTGTCCCGTTGAGTGAGATCGATAGTGGGATCGATCGACATGGTGTCCCGAGGTGTCCCGTGGTGTCCTATGGTGTCCCGTTGAGCGAGATCGATAGTGAGATCGATAGTGAGACCGATAGTGAGATCGAGAGGTGCCCCGTGGTGTCCTGTTGAGTGAGATCGACAGTGAGATCGATAGCGAGATCGACAAGTGCCCCGTGGTGTCCCGTGGTGTCCCGTGGAGTGAGATCGATGGTGGGATCGATTGAGTCAGATGTTGGTTCCCCCCCCTCTCTCCCCCCACAACCTCCTTATCACCCGAAGGGTGGTCGTGTAGGCAGCCCCCCAGGACCCAATTACAGCGCCCAAATCAAAATGTCTAAATTCCCGGGGTGTGTGTGGGATACGTAAAGCTGGTTTCAGGCTCGTTTGGGCCCCCTGCGTTTTTGAGGAAGAACGGCATGGCGTCTTCCACCTCCCCCTCCACCTCTTTCCTCCTCCGCCCCCTCCTCCTTTTCCTCCTTTTCTGGGAGCCTTTCTTAGTCTCTCTGTTCCCTCTTTCTCCTCCCTCTTCCTCCTCATCCTCCTCCTCCTCCCGAACCTGCTCCTCCTCCTCCTCATCCTCCTACTCCTCCTCCTCGTCCCAATCAGAATCCCCTTACAGAGCAGAATCGAGCAAAACCATAGGACAAATTACCCAGGCGACGTATCCAACCCCTACGCAATGCGGGGCACGAGTAGCCTGGGACACGTTATACAGAGGTGATGACGTGACATGGGCACATAAAATTCTGCGAGCGGCATTCGTGAGGCTCGCAGCCCCCCAAGGATGGCGAGGTCCGGCTCAGATCTGCGTGGTGCCTCACTCCGCTGGACCCGCCAGCAGCCTTCGAAGGTGGTGACAGTTCCGCAGATCGCAGCCCCCCAAGGACGGCGAGGCCTACCTCGGATCTGCGCGGTGCCCCACTCCGCCGGACCCACCAGCAGCTCTCGAAAGTGGCGACAGTTCCGCAGATCGCAGCCCCCCAAGGACGGCGAAGTCTACCTCAGATCTGCGCAGTGCCTCACCCCACTGGGCCCACCAGCACCCCTCGAACGTGGCGACAGTTCCGCAGATCGCAGCCCCCCGTAGGACGGCGAAGTCTACCTCAGACCTGCGCGGTGCCTCACTCCGCTGGACCCACCAGCAGCCCTCGAAATTGGCGACAGTTCCGCAGATCGCAGCCCCCCAGGGACGGCGACGCCTACCTCAGATCTGTGCGGTGCCTCACTCCGCTGGACACACCAGCAGCACTCGAAAGTGGCGACAGTTCCGCAGATCGCAGCCCCCCAGGGACGGCGAGGTCTACCTCAGACCTGCGCGGTGCCTCACCCCGCTGGACCCACCAGCAGCCCTCGAAAGTGGTGACAGTTCCGCAGATCGCAGCCCCCCACGGACGGCGAAGTCTACCTCAGATTTGCGCGGTGCCTCACTCCGCTGGACCCACCAGCAGCCCTCGGAAGTGGCGACAAGTTCGTAGATCGCAGCCCCCCAGGGACGAAGAGGTCTACCTCAGACCTGCGCGGTGCCTCACCCCGCTGGACTCATCATCAACCCTCGACAGTGGCGACAGTTTCGCAAATCGCTGGCCCCCCAGGGACGGCGATATCTACCTCAGATCTGCGCTGTGCCTCACTCTGCTGGACCCACCAGCAGCCCTCGAAAGTGGCGACAATTCCGCAGATCGCCCCCCCCCACCCCGGACGGCGAAGTCTCGCGGGAGACAAGAGGCGGGAGGCAGGAGGCGGGAGGCAGGAGGAGGAGGAAGACGCGACCGCTGTGATCTAGCCAAAACGAATACCCAACTAAGGAGGGTTTGAAAGAACAACAACAAATAAAACAAACCAAACAAACAAACACAACAAACACAACAAACACCTGGGGAACTTCTGGAAAGTGGGGTGGGGGAGGAGGAGGGGGAAAGGGGGGGTCGCTCAGTTTTTTTTTGGAGATGGAAGAGGAGGAGGAAGAGGAAGGGGAGGGAGAAGCGGAGGAGGAGGATGACGACGACGGCGACGACGGTGGCAGAGAGGGGCATCCACAAATGGATGCCCCTCCATCCCCGCCTTGATTCCTTAGTAAGGATTCCTCGAGAACGATTCCCTAATAAGGATTCCTCAGCCAAAGTTCCCCACTAAGGATTACTTAATACAGGTTCCGCATGCCGGATTGCTTACTATATATGTGTATGTATATGTATATGTATATGCATATGTACATGTATAGGTATATGTACATGTTTGTATGCACACATATATATAAATATTCCTTACTACGGATTGCAACATGAAAATTCCTTGCTAAGGATCCCTTCGCCAAAGGTTCCTGACTACGAGTTCCTCAGTCAAGGTTCCTTAGTAGGGGTTCGACAGTAAAGCCCCTCATTGACGATTATTTGGTACATCTTCCTCGCTAAGGATTCCTTACTGCAGGTTCCATCTTCAGGATTACTTCCTAACGGTTTCTTTATTCATGAATCCTCAATAACAGCCCCTTACTACGGAGCCGTTCGTGTGTAT